GAGCTAGAGCTCCTTCACTGGCGGAGCTTACGGTTGAAGATTCTGAGCTACGGCGGTTGAGGAGGGACGGGATGTATCTGAGGGTAAGGATCAGTATACCAAAAGCTGGACTTACGCAGGCAGTGATGGAGAAGATTCATGATACGTGGAGGAAAGAAGAACTTGTGAGGCTTAAGTTCCATGAAGTACTTGCTCGTGATATGAAGACGGCACATGAGATAGTTGAGGTCAGTTTCCTTGCATACTTCATTGATTCCTGGTAAAGATGTCTTGATTTTTGGCCTTAATACTGGAGAACGGTTTTCATGATTTATAGGGCACGATAACCTCCTAATCTCAACTTACTTCTGCAATAGAATGGTGATAGTTCTTTTATTAGAACAATAGGAACTTGTTAAAGACAAATGATTTCTCTTGGGAACAGTTACACAGTTGTGAATTAGGTGAATTTGAGGTCTGTAAAAGCTAGAGAAGATGGAGCTGAGCATTACTGTTAAGTAACAAGGCTTTGCTAGAGATGCATGTCTAAATTTTAGGTTTATAGAAAACTGATTGAATTTACTCTTAATGGGCAGCGTCGAACTGGCGGAATGGTGATATGGAGGGCAGGAAGTGTAATGGTGGTTTATCGTGGACGTGACTACCAAGGACCTTCTGTGATCTCCAATCAAATGGCCAGACCTGAAGAAACTCTTTTTGTTCCAGATGTATCGTCTGCTGGCGATGAAGCAACAAATGCCAAAGATAATCAAAGTGCACCTCCGGAAATCAAAGATCCAATTGTCAAAAACCCGATACGCAAGGAGAATATGACAGAAGAAGAAGCTGAATTTAACATTCTATTAGACAGCTTAGGCCCCCGTTTTCACGAGTGGTGGGGTACTGGGGTGCTACCTGTGAACGCTGACTTACTACCACCGACAATTCCTGGTTATAAAACACCCTTCAGGCTTCTTCCTACTGGGATGAGATCAAATTTGACCAATGCTGAAATGACGAATCTCAGGAAGATTGGTAAAACTCTCCCGTGCCATTTTGCTCTTGGTAAGATGCTTTCTAGTTCCTAGATGAATTTTTGTCAGAGGGTTCTGTTTGGTGTGCCAAGTTTTAGACTTGAATATGCACTTTACAGGTAGGAACAGAAACCATCAAGGATTGGCAGCTGCTATACTCAAGCTCTGGGAGAAAAGTCTAATTGCCAAGATCGCCGTGAAGCGAGGTATCCAGAATACAAATAACAAACTGATGGCGGATGAGATAAAGGTCTCTCTTTTCTTTTTCTCTGATGTTAAATGTGAGGGAAAAGTTACCCTTGAGATAGAACACTATCACAGTCTCTCAAATTGATAGAACATAGCAGAAAAGTATCTGTCCTTCCCCTAACCCAGTTATTGTTTGGATATTTAGGAATATATTCATATTGAAATCTAATGATTTATATTGGAACTTCTAGAGGCTGACGAAGATCTCACAACTTAATGGTTAGATTGAGATCTAGAAATTTCAGGAAGTGTTTTATTTACCTGCTCACCTAATGTTTTTTTATTCTATACTGGGTATTCCTTGATCATTGATGTTACTATCTAAACTAAAAGAAATTGGGTAACTAAAGGAAATATAAGATCCGTGCATATGTATCATAGTGTGAGATTTTATTGAATATTTGGTGATTTCTTGAGGACGCTCTGAATGACTGTTGCTTAAATAGCAAAAAGGCATAAAAGTTTCAGACAGAAGCCTAAGTTTCATGGTTTTCTTGTCTTTTTGCTATAGGCATTGACAGGGGGTGTCTTGCTGCTCAGAAACAAGTATTACATTGTAATATACCGTGGAAAGGACTTCCTTCCTTCAAGTGTGGCAGCTACTTTGGCAGAAAGACAAGAATTAACAAAAGAGATTCAAGATATCGAAGAGAGGGTAAGAAATCGAGACATTGAGGCTACTCAGCCAGTTGCTGACAAAGTACCAGCTGAAGCTGGCACCCTGGCAGAGTTTTATGAGGCTCAAGCCCGATGGGGGAAAGAGATAACTCCGGACCATCGAGAAAAGATGATTGAAGAAGCTTCAAGGGTCGCAAATGCCAGAGTTGTTAAACGAATCCAGCACAAACTAAACCTTGTAAGTAGAGCTTTTATATTCTGGTTGTTATTTTAAAACTTGCAATCTACTGTGAGATATCTGGTGGCAACTGTTATAGTAAGTCGTTTTACTGTATTTAACTTCTCTGGTGGTTTGTGACAGGCCCAATCGAAATTTAACAGAGCAGAAAAACTGTTGTCCAAAATAGAAGCCTCCATGATTCCAAACGGACCTGATTATGATCAAGAGGTCATCTCTGAGGAAGAAAGAATTATGTTCCGGAAAGTGGGGTTGAAAATGAAGGCATATTTACCCTTAGGTGAGTGTCGTTATATTAAGCAATCCGGCTGTTTTCTGTATAGCTGCGGTGATTGAAAGGTTGTAATAGAATGGAACAAATGTCTCCTTGTTATATGAATTAACCATTTCCTTACATGGACCTAACTAACAGGTATCCGTGGTGTTTTCGATGGGGTCATCGAGAATATGCATCTGCATTGGAAGCACAGAGAACTGGTGAAGCTTATATCTAAACAGAAGAGTCTTGCATTTGTTGAGGACACGGCTCGGTTACTAGAATACGAGAGCGGTGGAGTTCTTGTGGCAATAGAAAAGGTTCCTAAAGGATTTGCCCTTATTTATTACCGTGGAAAGAATTACCAGAGACCCATTAGCTTGAGACCAAGAAATCTTCTCACAAAAGCAAAAGCATTGAAACGTTCTGTTGCAATGCAACGCCACGAGGTTCGGAATTCCTGAAATTTTTCCACATAAATTACATTTGATATTCACAAGTTGATCGCAGCTTGCTTATTGAGACTTCTCTATGACAACTATTGCAGGCACTTAGTCAGCATATTTCTGAACTGGAGAGAACAATAGAGCAAATGCAGAACGAACTTGTAAGTGACCGCTTCCTCAACTAGGGACTTCCAATCGGAAACAATTCTAAGTTCTTCTTACTTTCACAAAGCATGCATGTTATGTTCTGCTCGATTTACAAATACAATTACATCAATCACTACCTACTGGTTCTTGCAGACTTCCAAAAACCCGACATACAGTGAGTCCGAATG